CTATGCAAAGATGTTTGTTTACAGTATGCAGGAACCTTCAGCTGTGTGAGCCCACTCTGCAGATGGGAGTCATTCTAGCAATAAGAGTTATTTAAAAGGCTGGTAAAGGAACTCCTGGTATCTAAGTAAGGTCATGTTGACCTTCACTAAGCCATGGTGCCTGTCAGCTACCGTGGTATTTTTCTCTCTCTACTATGCCATCCTCCAATTTATAGTCTATTAGTGTTTTATGAGGCTACAGCATTAAGTAGAGGAGGTCAATATAACACACGCTGATTTGGAGCAGTAAATTCCTACAAAGTGAATGACACCTCCAAAACTCTTGGGCATTACTGAGATAATCCACCACTCTCCCTATTCTCTAGAAAAACAAAACATAACATTCTCTCTGAGTTCTCATGGGATGCCCAGTCTGGGATGGCTTGGTCAGTCGTCTTGCTGACTCTCATTTTCAGTGTACAGTAGCAAGTCTCTCTGAGCATCATAGAGAGAAAATGTCAATAAAACTAATGGGAGATGTCTGAGTTGGCCTAAAATGTGGTCATTTCCATTAGGCCAGAGGTCCAGGTCCCAGACTGATAGAAATCTGTAAACTCGGTGCGCTCCACCAAAGCACAGAAATAAAATGCCTTCCTCTCCCCAACTCCCTCCCATGATGTCAAAATCATTTGGGGTCAAATCATCATTCTACTCCACGTGCCATGTGACTTCTGGCAAGTAGCTTAACCTTTCTGAGCAAGTTTCCTCTTCTATATAGTAGGGAGAATAACATTCCCCTATAGAGTTTGTGCTAGAGTTTGTAGAGGAGTAAATGAACAGATACTCAGCAAATGGTCATTTCCTTCTTAGCCTTCCCTCCCACCTTCTACCTACTTACAAGAAGAAAATTCTTTTCTGGTTCACTCTAATGCCGAAACACCTTGAAAGGAGGCCTTACCCTTTTCCTGAGGTTCTTCCCATCATGCCACGTGTAGGAGGAGCCGCTGGAGTACTCACTGCAGGTGCTTGAAAGAGAGAGTTCACTGCTGCTGCAGCTATTACGAGGGCAGAGATGACCAGGGATGACAACCCCCAAGCCAGGGCATTTCAAAGCCAGGGTTCCTGATTTCGCATTCAGCTGACATTCCTGAAAAAGTAGGAAAGCTCTGAGCTCAGGCTTTGCTTAGGGAAGAGTAAATACCAACTGAAAGGGAATATATCATAGTGTTTAGAAGCACAGACTTTGGAGTCAGACAGATTAGGGGCTCAGATTTTGGCTCTGCCTCTTACTAACATGCTAGGGGAAATTAATCTCTTAGAGGTATATTTTTATTTTAAAAAGTGAGTAATAATAATACTGCCTAACTTGCAGGGTTACTGCAAGGACCAAATGAGGTTCTAGATGGGAAGCATATCGCACAGAATCAGGACTAAGTTGGTGCCTAATTATTGAGAGCTACCACCATCACTTAGGCAGAAGTATCACATCACTTATTGAGAGCTCCAGTCATACTAGTGGAAGAATCAGATCAATATCAAAACATGACTCTAATACTACAAAAGAAAGAAGACACATTAGCATCTTTGGCTAGAGTTCAACATCATGAGCACTAGACTGGGAGTTTAGCATCCTGGATAAACACCCACTAGATATGAGATCTTGAGCAAATATAATAAGACACTTAACTTCCATGGACCTTAATGTCTTCATTTACAGAGTGAGGCAGTTCTACCAGATTACTCCTATGGTTCCTAAAGCTCTGATGGATCATTCTAAGTCAGGTATCAAATGTCTAGAACATTTCTGTACCACTTCCAGGGAGCCGTGTACAGTGGAACACCAAACTCAGAAGAAATGAGGCTCTGTTATAAAAGATGATGGGGTTGTCCACTCTCTCTGGCCTAAGAAAGACACTGTCTCAGCATCACTAAATCTGCGTGGAAGCAAAGGCTGGGAACCC